AAGGGAGAAACAAGGGAGAGAGAATAGATAAAGAAGAGTGCCATCTTCTCTGCGCCTTGTTTTGTCTCTCCCTCTTCTCTATTCATCTGTCTTCTATTCTCTTCCTTGCTCTTCCCATTAAATATGCAATCCTTGGTATCTCTCCTCTCTCCTTCTCTCTTCCTCCAACAGATGTGCTTTTGGATCGTTTTCTGCATCTTCAAGCGAGAAAAAAGGACACAGACTGCGATTAAAAGGGACGCCCATGTTGGATTGGCAGCAAGCCCAGCTGATGCTCATGATTCTCTCTCTTTCCCTACACATGGGCGATGGAACGGGTGTCCTTTTCAATCGTTTTCTGCATCTTCAAGAGAAACAGGGACACCCCACAAGAAGGAAAAGCAACATAAGAGATAGGGAGGGAAATTGACCCTTTCCTCTCTTCTTATCTGCTATTTTTCTTATTCGCTTCAAAAAGCAACATAAGGGAAAGGGGATTTCCTGAAGAGGAGAGAGGGAACCTATCTGTGAAAAGCAAGAATGGTTTTTTCTAGTTCGAAAGGGAGAGACAAGGGAGAGATGATATGTACAGCTTTGCGCCTTATTTTGGGAGCGAGGATTTTTTTTTGTCAATTTTTCTGGTATTTTTTGTGAATTTTCTTGCTTTTTCTTGCTTTTCTTGTGGTTTTCAGAACATGCCCTCCTGGTTCTGCCTGTCGTCCTCCTCTGGTGGGAATTCTTTTCTGTGTATTTTTCTGGTTTTTTTGGTGAATTTTGCTGGTTTTCAGCTTCCGATGGCCTCTCAGCGGCACCGCGTGTCCGGAACAGGTCCAAATCTCAACGTGCTACAACAACACATTACGTCTAACCCTTCGTCCTTTTGCAACTCGCGCTTGGAGCGTCGGGGCGGCCATCGTTGGCCCCGACAGGATTCAAAAGCTAGTTAACGTCCGGGGCTGGTTCAAGAGGAACCTCCGATGCTTCAATCTGAAACTTTGCTTCGGTTTAGGGCTTACTGCGCATGTAGGCCGCAAACATTCTATCAGGATTTGCGGCTTATGGTGGACGGTTCGGGTCTTATTAGGCTCTACGGTTTGCGGGGTCAAGGTTGCTCCTCGTATGATTGCCCCTTCAGCCCGGAACTACGGCTTAGGGTTTAGGGTGTAGGGTGTGTTGCGGGAAGCGGGGCAAACACGATTCTCGCATGATGGGTTTCCGAAAATGTGTGCATATGGCATATGCTTTGAGGCAAGCTTGCACGGCTTGAGAAAGCGGGGGGGTTGGGGGGGGGCGCAGCCCCCCCCATTTGCAAACACGATTCTCGCATGATGGGTTTCCGAAAATGTGACGATTCTCGCATGGCAAAAGTGTGCATATGGCATATGCTTTGAGGCAAGCTTGCACGGCTTAACAAACCGGGGGGGGGGGGTTATTTCTTTCTTTCTTTCTTTCTCTCTTTCTTTCTGTCTTTCTTTCTCTCTTTCTTTCTTTCTTTCTCTCTTTCTTTCTTTCTTTCTCTCTTTCTTTCTTTCTTTCTTTCTGTCTTGCTTTCCTTATTTCTTTAGTTCTCTCTGTCTTTCTTTCTTTCTTTCTTTCTTTCTTTCTCTCTGTCTTTCTTTATTTCTGTCTTGCTTTGCTTTCTTTCGGCCTTTCTTTCTTTAGTTCTTTCTTTCTTTCTGTCTTGCTTTCTCTCTTTCTTTCTTTCTTTATTTCTTTCTTTCTTTCTTTCTCTCTGTCTTTCTTTATTTCTGTCTTGCTTTGCTTTCTTTCGGCCTTTCTTTCTTTAGTTCTTTCTTTCTTTCTGTCTTGCTTTCCTTTCTTTCTTTCTTTCTTTTCTTTCTTCCTTTCTTTCTTTCTTTCTGTCTTGCTTTCCTTTCTTTCTTTCTTTCTTTCTTTCCTTCTTTCTTTCTTTCTTTTCTTTCTTCCTTTCTTTCTTTCTTTCTGTCTTGCTTTCCTTTCTTTCTTTCTTTCTTTCTGTCTTTCTTTCCTTCTTTCTTTCTTTCTTTTTTCTTTCTCTCTTTCTGTCTTTCTTTCTTTCTTGCTAAAAAACAGAAAAAAACACAAAAAAAAACCAGAAAAAACACAAAAAAAATACCCTACCCCCTTATTTTGTGATTCCGTCTCCTTGCTTCCTGTCTCTTCTATTCCTTGCAGCACGCTTCGGGAAACATAGCATCCTTGTTATCTTTCCTCTCTCACTTCCCTTTCCCTTCTCTTCTTCCGCTTCCTTTTAACTGATAAAACACAAGAAAGGAACTCATATGATAAAGCAGTGAAAAGGTAAGCAGAGGGTGACTCCTTGCGCGTGAGCCTTTCCATAATACTCCATCATATTCATCCTCTCGGCCTATCTCTTCTGTTCCTTTCCTTACTCTTCTCCTTCTCATAGTTCTTCCTTTTTGTTTTTCTCATTTCGAAAAGAAAGAGGGAAGGGAGAAACAAGGGAGAGAGAATAGATAAAGAAGAGCGCCATCTTCTCTATTCATCTGTCTTCTATTCTCTTCCTTGCTCTTCCCATTAAATATGCAATCCTTGGTATCTCTCCTCTCTCCTTCTCTCTTCCTCCAACAGATGTGCTTTTGGATCGTTTTCTGCATCTTCAAGCGAGAAAAAAGGACACAGAATGCGATTAAAAGGGACGCCCATGTTGGATTGGCAGCAAGCCCAGCTGATGCTCATGATTCTCTCTCTTTTTCCCTACATATGGGCGATGGAACGGGTGTCCTTTTCAATCGTTTTCTGCATCTTCAAGAGAAAAAGGGACACCCCACAAGAAGGAAAAGTAACATAAGAGATAGGGAGGGAAATTGAAGAACTCCTCATTGTACTTGGTCATTCCCTTTCCTCTCTTCTTATCTGCCCATTTTCTGTGCGCCTTGTTTTGTCTCCCCCTCTTCTCCCATCATCTCTCTTCTGGTCTTTTCTTTGCTCTTCCCATTAAAATGCAACCCTTTTTATGTCTCCTCTCTCCTTCTCTCTCCCTCCTCTTCTCCTGTTCCCTTCTAAACGACAAAAACGCAAGAAAGGAAGAATAAGAGGGGAATGGAGGCCCTGTTCCTTTTCCTCTTTCAATGGATGGGGGAAGTGGGCGGAGTTGGCCCCTTGCCCGTACACCCTCCCCATGCTTCAGCAAACCCCTCCTCTCGCCCTATCGCCTCTGTTTTTTTTCCTTGTGCCCAAACGGAAAACGAAAACGGGTTCCTTTATATGTTCATTGTCCTTCCTTTTGTTTTTTTATTTCACAGGGAAAAGAACCAGAGAAGAGGAAGATAAGAACGAGAGGTGAGATGAAAACGGCACCATCTTCTCTTTGCCTTATTTTTGCACCTCCCTCTCCTGTCTTTTTTTCTCTTCCACTCTTTTTTTCCATTGCTCTTCCCATAATATTGCATTCCTTTTGATAACTCACAGGAAATTAAAATGGCCTCCTTGTTGTCTCTCCTCTCTCACTTCCCTTTCCCTTCTCTCCTTCTGTTTCCTTTTAATTTTAACTGATAAAACACAAGAAAGGAGCTTGTAAAATCAAGCAGTGGAAGGGTAAGCAGAAGGTGACTCCTTGTGCGTGGACCTTTGCCGTACTTCACCATACCCCTCTTTTCGGCCTATCTCTTCGGCTCTTTTCCTAACCCTTCTTCTTTTCATCTTTCTTTTTGTTTTTCTCATTTCGAAAAGACAGAGGGAACGGAGAGATAAGGGAGAGAGGATAGATAAAGAAGAGTACCATCTTCTTTGCGCCTTGTTTTATCTCTCTTCTATTCTTTTCTTGGCTCTTCCCATGAAAATCGTGTTCCTCTTATCTTTCCCTCCTTCTCTCCCTTCTCTTCTCCTCACGAGAGCCTTCGACTTTAGGATTGAGGAGAAAAAGAGAAGAGAAAAGAGGAACTACCTGGTTCTTGTTCCTGAGGTCTCCATAGTACGGCTGACGTGACAGCAGCGTACCCTCGTGGAAACGTGTATGGCTATAAGAAAACCCGAGTCCCAGCTTCCAAATAGACCCTATTTCAGCCACCCACCCCCCCCCCCCCTTCATGCCCACGCAGGCCGACCTCTGCATCACAGACTGCTGGAAGCTTAGCTCCACCTATAGCGTGGTGGGTTTAGTCTTTCGGGTTGAGAGATCAGGGTCTAGGGTTCAGGGATGAGGGGTCAGGTTTAGAGTCACTCTGGACCCTTTACAGTCTATGCAATGCTGCCCCAAGCAACACACAAATAGCACCCTAAGCCCCCAGTGGCACAGATTTAAACAGCGACAATCCAAGCTCGGACCCTCCAATGCTGACACGGCTCCCATGTCACTCGGCTCTGCAAGGGACGACTCCTGGCAGATGAGCAGCGGTTCTAGTTCTTGGGACTCGGGTGAGGCGTGTTAGTTTTGCAAGCCTGACGGGTCCGGGCTCTGTAGTCGGCTGCAATCCTCAACAATCCTCAACCCACAGACAACAGACGGGCCCTGACAGCACGGCTGGATTTTACACTCCCTGCCACGACCCAGGAATTGTACAAGTCAGTCGTAGGAGCTCGAAGGGCACGTGACACGTGCTATTGCAACTGACAAGCCAGCTGGATGTAGACAGTGATATTTCTATCTTTGTGTAAAGGCCCCGTTCGGGCCATTCACTCCACCGGCTTGTCTCAAAACCTCCCTGCCTAGCCAACACTGCCTCCGGCAGGCACCATTCCATTTTTTTTGTGTGCCATTTTCGAAGGGCACGTGACACGTGCTATTGCAACTGACAAGCCAGCTGGATGTAGACAGTGAACTTTCTATCTTTGTGTAAAAGGCTCCGTTCGGGCCATTCACTCCACTGGCTTGTCTCCAAAACCTCCCTGCCTAGCCAACACGCCATGCCTCCGGCAGGCGCCATTCCATTTTTTTTTGCCATTCCAGCATGTGCCGTTGTCAAGCGTCTCCAGCCATCATGCCATGTTCTGCCGTGAAGCCATTGCATTCCAGCCTCTCAAGCCGCGTCATGCCATCTTCTGCCGTGAAGCGAAGTCAAGCCTCTGAAGCCGTGATGTCGTCATCGGAGCCATCCAGCGAAAGCGTGGCGTCCATAGCCCGTGGACCTGTCGCAGGCACGGAAGGTGTACTTGGACTCGAGACAAGGAGCGGCCATGTACTTGGACCAGTAGCAGGAAAAGGCGGCGGCAAAGGCGATGTGCTTGGCAGTGTCGCCAGCAACGGCTGTGGATCGTCCAACATAAGACATTGAAAGGGACTGGGCCGGAGCAGCAACTCGGACGTCCCGGGGCTGGGCGGGAGCAACGACTCGCGCGTCACGGGAAGAGCGCAGAGAGATGGCCTGATGTTCCCAAGACAAAGGAGATCAGGCGTCCTGGGCGATCGCGCCCTCCGTTGTGCAGGAGGCATGTCACAAAACGATTGCTGCTCCTCCTCCGGCTGCACTTGTCGCACCTTCCAGTCGGGAGATGCCATGAGTAGGGGTTTGCCAGGTCTAGAGTTTAGGTTGTTTGGCTTAGGGATTAGGGGCTCGGAGGTAGACCCTAAACCCTAAACCCGAAGCCCTAAAACTTGAATCCTGAACCCCTCAACCCCTAAGCCCTTCTAACTCGGAGGCCCAAAACCCCAAAACACGAAACCCAGAACCCAAAGTAAACCCTACTACCCTAGAAGTCTACAGCCTTAACCAACATCCCGGAACCCTAAACCCACAACCCTAAATCCTAAAACCTAAAACGCCATATCCCGCAATACACTAAATCCAGATCCCAAAACACCAAACCCTCGAATCTAAACCCCAATCCCCCAGAGGCGCGTCCCAGTCTGCATAGGCCCGCTCGGCGCGAAACGTGGCACGATAGTGAGCACAGTCGGCATAATCGTCCGGCTCCATCATGGGCTCCTGGGATTTAAGAAGATTACTATGGATGGTGTGTCTTGTTTAGGCTGCTGTGATAGTGCTCTCCACGACACACGTGTAGAAAGATAGATTTCCAATGCATAAGGGGCACATCCTCCAAGCAAGGCGTGGGCCCGACCACAGCAGTCATATTAGGGTTGGCCCGAAATGGAAGGCAAGACGGAGATCGGGACCGGGCATCGGCACGGTCAGCCATGGCTGGCAGGCAAAAACGGACCCGAAGATCACAATCAAGTGCGAGGAGATGAGAGCAAATGTGACACATTGTGTATTCAACCCCTTCCCCTGGCCAAATGCCTCTTTCGCTCTTTCGAGCCACGCGCCGTGGAGGCAAAACAAGCGATTGACCAGGAGGGTTGCTGCTTGACACAAAGCCTTAAACCCTCAACCCCAACCCTATACCCTGGTCGAGGCCTGTCTCTGTGCAGGAGCTGGGCTTTCAGTCAGGGCAGCCTGACCAGAGCGGGCGGACAAAACAGTTAGGGTGTCGGGTTTAGGGTAAAGTGCTGAAGTATCTGGAACATTCTGGAACCTTTGAGTCCATGCTTGAGGCTTGCTCTCTAGAATAAACCCTGAAGTCTAAACCGTAAGATGACCTTAAACCCTCGACCCTAAACCCTAATCGATGGTTGAGTGTTTACACATCAACCCTAAACCCTCAACCTGAGACCCTGGACCTTAAACCCAACCCTCACCCTAAACCTGGCGAGGGTAGAGTGCTTGTGTTTCTGGAACGTTACACTCCCTGGGACTCTGATAGTGAAACTCCGTGCAAAAGGGGTTTGCAGTCTAAACCCTAAACCCTAGCACCTAAGCCCTGGACCCGAACCTAGACCCTAAGTCTTAAACACTAACCCTAAACCCTGGTCGATGCCTGGGACTGTGCAGCAACAAGGTCTTTCTGGGAAGCAGCCTGAGAAGGCCGGGAGTAAGAGGCGGTAAGGGTTTGGGGATGAGTGCCTGAATAACTGCAACCTCAATCACACGGTCTCATGAAACCCGGTGCTTCGGGCTTAGTCGCTAACTCTCGCACAAGGCTGGCAAGGTTCGTTGGTCTACCGTTGCTCTGTGTAGGGTTTAGGGCTTGGAGTCTAAACCACACTCTGAACCTTAGACCCTAGACCTTAACCAGAGGAAATTGTGAGGGTCTACGGTTTAGGGTGGGGCGCTTTCTTTTTCTGGAACGTCTAACTCCGTGGGACTCTGGCAGTGGAGCCTTGTGCTAAGGGTTTGCGGCATAAACGAAAACCCTAAACCCAAACACCTAAACCCTGGACCCCAAACCTAAAACCCTAAATCCTCGATCCTGAGCCCTGGTCGATGCCTGGGTCTCTGCAGGAGCTGGCTCTGCCTGACCAGGCCGGGCAAACGAAGTGGCGTCGGGGGAGTCTGTGGGGGGGGAGAGGTTCAGAGTTCAGGGTTTTTAGGGTCTGGTGTTTAGGTTTTCCTGGAAATGGATTCTACCGGAAAGCTTGGGCAAGATGACCCGAGCCTCCACAGCAGTGCCATAATCACCCATGGCACGCGCCTGAGACCTCAATTCTTCCGGCACCTGCAGCCAGGGATCTGGAGCAGATTGGAGCAGACACGAGGGGAAAGGGTGGGTGGAGCTAAGAGCCCCGCTCTGCCAGTGTGATGCTTGTCCGCCCAGTCATTCGCCTGCCAGCACGAACCAATAGGACCATTAGGACTTCTCCGCTGAGTGCACCGACATAGGAAAAAAAAAGCCTGGGTCTTCGATTTGAAAGTGGGCGACTCGACGCCGTCCCCAGTCCAGCTGTAGTAGACTCGGCAATGCACAGAGACAAGGGGAGAAGAAGCACAAAAACGACAAGTACCGAACACAGCCACAGCATGAATTTGGGTCGAGGGGCAATCGTGACGATTGCCCGCAAGATTGGTTCTGTACACCACAGACCACCCCATGGCTGTGCAAAGAGGCTTGCAGGAACCCCTGAAACACACACCAGTGATGCGGCGAACTGCTGTCACTGCTTTCTTGCACTCTCTTGCTGCCTGATGATTTCGTTTTTTTGGGTTGAGGTTTTTTTTGGGATGGAGGGTTTTTAGGGTTTGGGGCTCGTAGGCTATAAGTTTTTTGGGATGTAAGGTTCATTTGGGGGGTTTTGAGTACACCGTATCGAGCCTCGCTGTTCCGGAGCGCCAGAATCGTCAGCTTTTAGGGGAGAGGTTTAGGGGTTTGGAGATGTCTGGGCTTTGCCAGCCTGTGTTCGGGCTGAGGCCGATCGCAGGCTCAAAGAGCTTATCAAATGCCATGGCACTCTGCACAACCCCCCCCCCCTCTTCTGAGCTTATTTTGGTGACCGACATGGAGAAATCACAAACCAACATAATAAAGGACAGATGGCCTCTGCAGGCCCTTCTGTCCATTATTTGCCTTCTGTTTCTGATCCCTAGGACTCCCTAGGAAATCCCCAGTATTTCCATCGAGACGAATGGGGGGGTCCATGAACCCGTAAAAAAGGCCAGTTTTAAAGGCCATATGGACCTAGGTCCTGGCCCTGTCCTTTTTTTAGTGGTGGGGGATCCTAAACCCTACCCTACACCTCGAGAAACCCGGAACCCAAAACCCTAAACCCTAAACCCTAAACCCTAAACCCTAAACCCTAAACCCTAAACCCTAAACCCTAAACCGGAACAAGCTGCCTAAAGCATGCAGCCCAGACTCCCATGCTGCACGGCGGTCTTGAAACTCCTTGTGCTCTGTGGGGGGGCTTTCGGATTTAAGGGTTCTAGGGCTCAGGAGCTTGGGGGTTTAGGGTTTAGGGTTTAGGGTTTAGGGTTTAGGGTTTAGGGTTTAGGGTTTAGGGTTTAGGGTTTAGGGTTTAGGGTTTAGGGTTTAGGGTTTAGGGTTTAGGGTTTAGGGCTCGGTGCACACCACCACGCAAGGCGTGCGTGGAGGTGCACGCCCTGGTTCAACGCTCCCTCCCAACCCACCCACCCACATCAAGAAGAGAACCGAATAGAATAGAATACAATAGAATAGAATGAATAGCATGGCATAGAACAGAATAGCATAGAATTGAATTGAATTGAACTGAATTGAAGAATAGAATTAGAATAGAATAGAATAAGCATAGAATAGAATAGAATAGAACAGAATAGAATAGAATAAAATAGAATAGAACGAAATAGAACAGAAAAGAATAGCATGGAATAAACCAGAATAACAATTTAAAAATAATATACAGTATATCATCTCAACCTTGTGATGGCCACACAACCATCCGCGCTATTTGCTAGCTATTAGCATCTCGAACGTGTCTGCAAAACTGCTGACTGTTATCAGCTAGCTAGCTACTGGCGCTGGTTACATGAACTCTTCCCAAGCCAACAAAGCGGCCAATGGCAGACTATTTCCAGGCGCACTTGCGAATAGTCTGCGATTCGCATGGGTAACTATGGGGCCCAGTCGACGTTGTGGGCTTTAGGCCTTGTACAGCAAATAAGGTGTCTGGTTGGCGCGCCGAGGGGCGGTTGCTGGGGGCGGGGGGGGGTTGATGGGGGGGGCAGGCTTCAAATCTATGACTCAAGGGTTTGGGGTTTGGGGCTCTAGGGGTTTAAAGGCTTCAGGCTTCGAATTTTCCCGCAGTATGATGGAGAATTTTGGGATGTTGGGGATATAAAAAAAGAATCATCCGGTACAACCCCGAATAATCCGCTTTAGTCCAAAACAGTGCGGTATAGACGAAGGAATTGTGAACCCCAGGTGCCTCATCAATTACAGCTCATACGGCTTAGGGAATAGGGCAGAGGGGGGGAGGGGGGGGGAGGGGGGAGGTGGGTGGGGGGCTGGGGGGGGGGAGCTGTGGGAAGGGGGGGGAGGTTAATGAGTTCTGCTTGAGGTTTACCAGCTTACGTCCAGGCGTGTTGTCCTTAGACCCTAAACCCTAAACCCTAAACTTTGAATGGTTTCAGGATTTGGGGCGGGTGGTCTCGGCACCGTCACAAACTAACTGATGTTACAAGGGGAAAACGGACCAGCATATGAACACCCTGAACCGGAAAGTTATCATATCCCAATACCGACAAGCTTCTGAAGCAGGTTCGCCCGCTCAAGAGATCGGAAATCACAATCTTGCCCGGCACTGAGATCATAAGCCTTGGCCGGAGCCTAGTTAAATGCGGGCCCTTGTTTTTTGCACATCTCGGGAGGTTTCGGTATCACCTATAGAACCTAGGCCTAGACCTAAACCCTAAACCCTAAACCCTAAACACTACACTTCAGGGTTTTGGGTACTCAGCGTTCCTAGAGTTTTGCCTCGGCATGTGCCAGGCGTGGCCGCACATCGGGCAGAGATGCAAACCCTAAACCCTCAACCTATAGGGTATACTCCCCTTAGAACCTGAATAAAAACAATGGTTTGATATCCTCTTGGGTTTATATAAACCAAAATTAA